CACGAGCCCTCGTCACCTCCTGCTCCACACTGTTGAGCTCTTCAGTGGTTTGGAGCAGTTGGAGCAGACCCGTGTCCACCCGTTACCAAGAAGGGGGCTTCTGCCCTGAGGGGTCAGGCCCGTGAACTCTGTCCGACCGGTGACACACTGTGAGGACACGCTGTCTTAGTTAGGGCAGTTATCCCACTGCAGGTGCTAACACTGGGAACGCCTAATTGAGCAAGAGCTGCTCGCAAGACGGGCCTTTCACCACCGTCATCCTGAGGCCGGCAGGTCAGGCAGAGTGACCTTCGCACTCAGACCCAAGTCCTTCCCGCTCAGATCCACCCTCTTGTCTGTGCAGCCTAGCCCTGCTCTGCCCTGGTGGCCCTGCTCTGTCGCCGGATGTGTCAAGCAGGCTGCCTCTTCCTCTTGCTCATTCTGAGTCATCCCTGTCCCTCAGCTCTCCTGACTCACCATGCTCCGTTTCCACCACAGCCCACATTCTGCCCCCTCAGCAGGTCCACACACACACTGCTGCCCAAATCTGTGGCCGAGCCGATCGTTCACATGCCCAGCAGAGCGGCCCTGAGAGGCTGGATGCGGTGGCCTCGGAGGCCTCCAGTGCCTAACCAGATGGCTAGTTTTGTCTGTCTGGAGGGAGTCAGACAAGAGTAAAGGAGTCAGAGCTGAGGGCTAACGGGCATTCCCCGGGGCTCTTGCCATGCCAGGGGAGCCTCAGCCTGTCTCCCCGTTTCCTCTGAACCTCCTCAGGATAGGTGAGGAAGCAGGCTCAGCCGGGGGAGCTGACATGTGCCCCAGGGTGTGGAAGAGGTGCCAACAGGCGAGCCCTGGAGCTCGACCTCGTGCCCCACACCATCTCCTGCGGTGGGAGTCTCTGACCCACTTACACCTGGGGGAAAACAGGCATGTGCAACAGCAGAGCAGAGGGTGTGAGGCCCAGGTGACCCATGGTGGCTGGCTCTGAGCGTCCGTCCCACCGTGAAACACAGACAGATGGTCCTAGGACAGTCCCGAGAAGCCCATTGTTCTGTCTCACAGGTGAGCCATAGGGACCTTGTACAGGCCTGGGCTCTGCCTAGCCCAGCTGCAGCCTCGCTTCAGTACTCTCATCCCAGGGGGTCAGTGTGTCATAGGAACTGGAGGAGAGCATTTGATGGGGCAGGCAGACAGGGCCTGAGCCCCCAGAAAGTCCCATGTCTACACAGGTCTCCAAAGCCAGGGGGTTCCCTGCTCTTCACTGATAGGCCTGGATGTATGGACGCTGCTTTCTTTCTTTCTTTCTTTCTTTCTTTCTTTCTTTCTTTCTTTCTTTCTTTTTTTTTTCTTCAGATGCTGGTTTCTTTTAAAGATTTATTATGTACACAGCGTTCTATACTGCTGTATGCCTGCCTGCCAGAAGAGGGCAGCAGATCTCAACCTTGTGGTTGCTGAGAATTGAACTCAGGACCTCTGGAAGAGCAGCCAATGCCCTTAACCTCCGAGCCATCCTTCCAGCCCAAGGAGACGGGTTTCTACAGAGCATCCACCGCACCGAGTTCCGGGCCTAAAGCTTCCTTTCCCATGGCCTTCCCTGTTCCCCTTCACCTTCCTTTTAA